TAGAACAAAAATCTAACCCGCTTTCAGATGACTTCGAAAGTTACAAAATGTGTGCCCAACGGGTTATTTGTGTCTATAAACCGAACTCTAGGTTTTAAATGACTTGAAATAATTTTAAAAGCAAAAGATTTTTATAATCACCTGTCGCGTATCAAAATCATTACAATAACAACAACTTTTTTTGTTTGACAGGATGTTCCATGGTCCCAGGTACCAAAAATAAACCAACCAACCAATACTGACACAAAAGGCAACTGGCAAATGTAAATTTTAAATATAAAACTAATGATATTGTTTTTTTCACCCAGTTAATAATATTAGTGACTGGGTTCGATTCATAGGACACTGGACAAAATATATTGTGCGATGAGCACGATCATTTGTTCTGTACAAGAGTGTAATTCATCTGGGTGTACTTTATGATGTATTTGGAAATATATAAGTATGTTAGTGTCCTGTCCGTGTGGTGACGGATTAAGAATAAGAAATGTCACCACTCCTAACCATCCCGTGTGGGTGTCGTAAGAGACGACTAACGGATTAAACTAAGCAAGACAACAGCACTGCAAAGAGAAGGACAACTTGACACAAACCCTTTTTTTTTTTTTTTTTTTTTTCGTGTGGAAATCCCCTCGGACCGTCACCCCGCCGGGGCTCTCGTTCGGCGGGGCGGTGTGTCGGACTCAAACCGACTAAAACCACACGGTGTGCCCTCTTTGCGCTTCCAGTTTAGGAGGGGTCCAGGTAGCTATCTCCTTCTGGACCCCTCCCAGCGCCGGCCCGCTCCTGGCGCGGGCTCCGTCTCAGTGGACCCTCTCTTTAGGCGGCGTCCGGCACACGCGGACGCCGCCCCCTCGCGGCTGGCCAACTAATGCGGGTGGAGGGGAGAACCCATCCCGTCCACCCGCGGCCACACTCAGGGCGGCATGAGGCGCAGGTAGGCGCGCCTCCGCCGCCCGGTTCGCCGGCGGCGGATCAGGTCCGAGTGGAGGTCGTCCTCCCGGGCCTTCTCCGCCGCCTCCTTCTGCGAGATTACCTCCTCGCAGAAGGTTGCGACCGCGGTAAAACAACCGTCGCTACCGGCCATGGAGCGAATTACGGCCGGTAGCGAGAGATCTGCTCCGATGACTGCAGTGAGGGCCCGGCGCTGCGTCGCCCATGCGGGGCAAACCGCCAGCGTGTGCTGGGCCGAATCCTCACCGCAGTCGCAGTGGTGGCAGGCGGGACTCGATTCCCTCCTAGCGACCGAGTACAGGTACTTTCCGAAGCAACCGTGCCCGGAAAGCACCTGCGTCAGCCGGAAGGAAAGGGTCCCGTGCTGCCGCCCTGCCCACTCGGCGATGACCGGCTGGAGAGCCTCCACGGCGGCGAAGCCAGCGCGTGGAGTCTCCAGCCGGAACGACCATCTCACCATAGTGGCTCGGCGAGCGGCTTCGCGCCACTCGCGCACGTCTTCGGGCGGAGGGCGAAATCCGCTCTCCGCCCGGAAGTCAGCCACTCGCCGATAAACTTCGGCGAGCACTTCCGCCTCCAAATCCCACGGGGGTGTTCCGGCCAAGGCGCAAGCCGCCTCGGTGGACACCGTGCGGTATCCGCGTATGGCTCTGACCGCCAATATCCTCTGGGGGCGCCAGAGGCGCGCCCTATTCGGGGCGGTCAGAGCCGCCACCCACACCGGTGCACCATAAAGCGCCATGGACCGGACAACCCCCGCGTACAGCCGCCTCGTGGGAACACTGGCCCCGCCCAAATTGGGCAAAAGTCGCCCTAGGGCGGAGGCAGTGTCCACCAGCTTCGGACCAAGCTGTCGGAAGTGCTCGTCGAAGAGCCACCTACCGTCTAGGACCAGACCCAGGTACCTCATCTGGGCCCGGACCGGTACGAGGACCGAGCCGACCTCGATTGAGGCGCCGGCGGGTGGACCACGACGGGGCCCATGAAATAATAGGGCCTCCGTCTTATCCAGGGCCACCCGTAATCCCAACGCCTCAATGCGCCCGATCACCTGGGAAACTCCCGTGGCGGCCAGGCGCGCCGCCTCCTGGAAGTTAGCCCCCCGGGCCGTGACTAAAGTGTCATCTGCGTAGCAGAGTACACCCAGCCCGGGGGGGAGACGCCCTCGTAGGGCCCAGTCGTATCCAATGTTCCACAGGAGTGGTCCTAGGACAGACCCCTGCGGAACACCGCACGACATGGCCCTGCGTCTCAAGACGCCATCTCGGTCCTCGTACATGACGGTTCGCTCCTCAAGGTAGTCTGCCACCAGCCGCCTCAGGTACTCCGGCACTCCGTGGTAGCGGAGCGCTTCCCTGATGCAGCTGAATGGCAGACTATTGAAGGCGTTGGCGATGTCCAAGGACACCGCCAACACCACTCCGCCGCAGAACTTGACACAAACCCTATACCAACCCGTCTGGCCAGCGTGGTATAGGCCAAAACCTCCATTCTAAGGAGAGGCTTATGTCCGGCAGTGGACTGTTATAGGTTGCTGTTGATGATAGGTGAAGTGTGTTAATTAGAAATATAATAATATGTGCCCGTTTGATTTCAATATAATAATAAGCAAAGTTGGCATAAGTATATTTATATATATATATATATGAAAGGAAAGATGATGATTGTACATATTATATACATATATGTGGGGATGGGTACAAATAATTTAAAGTGGATTTGAACTTATATTTTTTTATTACATCTTAGCAGCACTTTCAACGATCTTTCCCAAAGAATATATCTACTCTCCGATCTTTCCTTTATCACATTCTTTTTGACAACCCTCTCTGTTGACAGCTAGGTATTTTACGGTCAGAAACATATGTAAGAAAAGTAGGCGATACAAAATGAAAAACTAAAACATATGCAACAACCGACATACTTATTTATATTATTTTTTCTTTTAGGACATCTCTTTTCGATACATAGATAATTTATTAAACGTACTTAATGTTATTCTTACATCATTAGGCTTACTTATATAAAAATATTTATGTTACAGGTGACATAAAACCTGGATCTACCAGAGTTAATACCTCATAGTATACCAGAACAGGTGACTACCAAAACGTTTTAATGTCGCATAGTATTGGTATAAGTCCCGAAATGTACTACTAAATAACTTTTATTTAAATCGATTAGATTAATCGTGAAAATTATGTAAAAAAAGTAATTACACTGATTTGACTGGGCAACATTCCATTGACGGATCAAGGCAATTGTGAACAAATGAGTTTGAACGATATCTGGGTAAACTTGTTGACGGAAATGACAATTCATTTGTGACAGCCAGCTGTCATTGGTATCGACTTCTGTAGTGCCTCTATGCAAACTACAAACTGAAATAATTTTTAAACGCATTCTTAAAAATCTGGTGATAAAGATTGTAATTGTTGAGGATATTTCCAGCCAAATAAAAACAACAATAATCCCTACCATGAGATACGCCAAGCGGTATAAAAGTCCCATACATGCCTGCCATTGTCCTTTCGCTTGTATAATAACATGTATGATATGTACTGTATAATTAATAATAAATTGCACGTGTCATTTTTAACTTACAGAATTCGTTTTCAGGCTTTTGCCAGGGCATGGGCGGCACTGGTGCACTGGTGTGATATGTAACTGACGTTGACAATTGACATTGACAGACTTGACAGTGCCTTGTAATGGCAAACTGCATGCAATGGTATGTCAAAATAGTGATGCCGAGAAATTTATTCACAGACAATCGAGAAATAAAAAATCCATTTCTCGAAAGACGATTTTTTTGAGTGTGCATTTACAATGTAAAAATTAATACATCCATATCATCCATATCATGAAAAACAAGAAAGGTACCATAATAACCGATCTCTTATTTAAACTAATATTATGAAGCTTAAGAGTTTAATTGTTTGTTTATTTATTTTGTTGAAAGCGCTAATCTCAGATACTAGTACTCGAATCAAAACATTATTTCAGTGTCGAAAAGCCCATATACAGCGTAAGGCTATATGCTATACATCATGTGGCGACTTCCACATAGGTGGAACACAGAAACATACTACAGCGCCATCTAACGAAGACACACCAAACTACGGCGTAACTCCTTGAATGAGAAGTGCTAATCCTGTATCGCGATATAAATAATTCTCTCGCCGATTAGCCTATATACAACTTTCCAAGATCAACAGCATGGCCGCGGCAGGCATTATCACCTCGCCTATTCGGAGGATCCTTCCTTTGTGTTGGAGGGGCATGACACCCGTTCCTCCACAATCACATCACGCTTCTTCGCTACCACCAATAGGAGCCGAGTATCAATGAAATAAGGGGTAAATTTATTTCCATTGCTAGAGTCAGCTAGTCATTAATATCAGAGAATTGTTTAGTTCCTAGAAGTCAATTGTTTGTACATCCATACCAAAGTATTAGGAAGGTTTAGACTTTTGTTTTCTAAAATTTATAACATTAAAGTGATTTAGAAAATAAAATAATATTTATGGCATATAGTTCCCAAATGCTTAATATTATTATAAATCTGACTCATTTCACACATGGATGTCTGATTCCAAAATATGCAGAGCCTGTACTATGCTAACTAGACTGTTGATAAATATACTTAAATACTTCTATATACATACATAAAATTAAGGACAAGGCTGATAATCGAGGTTGAAATATAGATTTACTGCATTGATTATGCCATAAATCGATTAAAACTCGATTTTTTTAATTCTGCGATTAACTTCCACTTCCAACCCTATTTAAAAATAAAAACAATATACATTAGTTTACTTCTAACCTTGCATCTGCAATGAATACCGTACATTAACTCTAAGAGTACAGTGCATTAACTTTTCAGATAAGTTCTATAGTTATATTTCAGTAGTAATCAGTAGGTGTACAGTACCTACTCAATATTTTGAAAACAGCTACTTCAGTTGCAATGACAACAGCTCTTGAAAGCAATTGAAACTTTTATTTTGGCTTTTCGACAACTGCCGGCAGAATAAATGGTGATGGCTACTGCGAGTTTGTATCATCCGTACGACACGGGTGACTTGTCGCATGAGGTAAGAGTTTCAGTAAATGCAGCGGTGAAGCTAACCGTAGGTATATCAGCTATCTGATGAGTATGCAATGGATACCCCCGGGAACACAAATTCCAAAGTGGTAGGTGCTGACAGGACAGTGACAGTTCAAGAAACAAAAACAAAATCATATAGGCATGTTCTAAAAGTTTTTGGCAAAGGTAAACTCATCTTTGTATCATTTCTTAAGAGGGTATTTAAAAATTAAATGCTGTTGGTTTGAAATGGCTAAATCGTTTGGACTAATGATTGGTTGACCTGTGAAAAGTAGTTTACAATCTGTGAAAGTTGCCAAGAAAATGAGGAATTGGAGAGCATATTGGCCTAGCTAGGTTAGAAAAAATAAAATAAAATTCTAATAATTATTTTTCGACTAAAACACAATTGTTGCAAAGCTTTATCAAGCCATCAAGTTATAATTAATAATTTTATAATATTTCTTTCATTTTAATTTCTAAGTCTTAGTAAAATTTGCAGTCTTCCTAAAACATTATACCTATGTAGTGTCACACTGCAATGCCTCTACTTATAATGTTTATTTTTTAACACACATGGTTCCAAATCACACACACAAAAGTGACAAATTTGACAATACTTTGTTTTATATATGACTAATCCCTCCCACACGCCCACCACATCAACAGCAGTGACCTATGAACACACCGAGTTATGACATTCGGGAAGTCCCAGGAAAAAAAATAAACTGTCTTGGAACCCGCAACGAAATGAATCCAAAGAAAATTGGAGGAGTCGGAAATACAGTAAATCCACTTCCCTCCTTAGCAAAGCGGGAGACAAAATGAAGTAAAATAGGCATAATTATAAAATAATAGTAATCTCACACAGACCATTCACAGCCGTCTGATCCTAAACTAGGCACAGCCTGTGCTATGGGAACCAGACTGATGATATACATACTTAAATATTTCTAAATACATAGGTACATATTTATACTAACATTATAAAGCTTTTTATAAAGTTTGTTTAGTTGAATGCACTAGTATTAGGACCTACAGGTTTGAATTATAAAATCTGTTAGTTTTCTACACAATCAATGGGGGAAGACCATCAATGAAAATTGTGACATTATTAAATTCATTAAATTTCTAGATTGTTCTGTACTCCATTTCATATCTTTCTTTGTGATATATTCCCTTTTCGGAATTTCATATTCAACACATGTAGTCTTCATGTTACACATCAGATAAAAGGTTCAACACAAATTGTTTGTAGCAAAGTGAAAGTCCTCTGATAAAGAATCTAGTCAAATACTACGGCAGTACAAGTAGCTAAAGCCACCTAAGTAGAACTTCTTTCCATCTTGTTAATAGATTTTTCTTGCTGTTCTACATGGAATATGTATGTATGTATAATATGTCAAAATAATGTATGTATGTACAGGCATATGGATTACACCCTAATAAAATGTATTTTTATAATTACAATATGATAAAATAAAATGTTTATAGGACCACCATTTCACAGAAGTTGTCGGCAGATGTTGGCGGTGATGTTCTCCAATAGGGTGGCCCATTGGAGAACATCACCGTTGGCTCTTACTCTTCACCATTTCATGCAATGTTTATATAACATTTGATGATGTGTCAATCCACATTTGGCCCTGTCATTACACCAGTGATGAGGCTCTCCATGACATTAATGTTTTAACAACCATTCTAAATTATAAAAGGAACTAATGCATACATCACTCTTTTGTTGTCTTTACAACATTTCATGATCAGATCAGACTTAACTTCTTTTTGCACATTCTATCCTGAGGATACGAATCCAAGATCTGCAATGGAGTCTGTGACTCTATGCTTAGTGTACACACTTGCCGAGGCTTGGCAAATGTCCACAAGCTCCAAGCCTTTACAGACGCTTGGATGCCATTTAAAAGCTTGCCAGTGTTTAAATGTGTTCTGGACAAGCAATCATAGCAGATGTGGACTTTTAAGTTGTCTCAGCTATTTGACTTGAGTTTCTTTTTTCAAAATATAAGCAGCTAAACATGCGATAAAAAAAAAATAGGTAGGTATATTTGTGAGTATATGTCTCCTGTTCGGTGTAATGTGAATCTAAAGATGTGTATCTAACCTCTAACTATGGGTGTCTCAGTAAATGTACATTTAATCATTTTAAAATTAAAACACGTTTTTTATAAAAGACTTGTGATATTTTTATTGGATTGTAAAGAAGACATGTTGCGATTGAGTATGGAATAAAATATCCGGCAAATGGCCCCCACGGCTCTGATGACAGGCCATTACCATGACTTTTACACAGAGATGTGGCTGTATCTCACCGATGACGCGTTGGATCTCTGATTTGAGCTCAGGAATTGTTTCTGGTTTATTCGCATAAACTCGAGATTTCACAAAACCCAAAAGAAAAAAATCGCACGGCGTTAAATCGCACGATCTTGGTGGCCAGTTGACATCAGAATTTCGTGAGATAATGTGTTCTGGAAATCGCTGCTGCAATAAGTCGATTGTTTCATGCGAGGTGTGGCAGCTGGCGCCGTCCTGCTCAAACCACATGTTGTCCAGATCCATGCCGTCCAGTTGAGGCCACAAGAACTCCGTTATGATATTCCTGTAACAGACAGTTGCTCGTTCTGGGTGCATTTGTTTCTCATGGATTGTATGAGGAGTTTCTAAGCCCCCAAATTCGTCAATTATGTGTATTAACGTAGCCATTCAGATGGAAATGCACTTCATCGAAGATGACCTTTTTCGAAAAATTGCTATCGACTTCACTTTGCTCCATTATCCATTGCACGAATTGACAACGCTTTCCATGGGCTGCTGGCCTGACTTAGCTGAATCCTTGACACGCATGATGGTGGAGGTCTTTTGTCAAAATTCGCTGCGTAGTGGTTCATGAAATTTGAAGTTGTTGAGAACGATGTCGAATTGATGTTTTCGGGTTTTCAGCGACACTTTTACAGCAGCAATGTTTTCAAGAGACCGACCGGTACGTTGACGCAAAGGATTCTTAATATCCATAATCGACCAGTTGACACATTAGGTGCACTTTCTCGACTGAAAATTTGGCGAAGTTTGCGAGTTTCAGCTTAACTTGCCCCATTTTTGTAATGAATTTTCACATTTATAACGCGTTGTTCTTTCGAAAAGCGTTTCCTTTTTAATAATCGGACTAAACATAGGTGAAAGCTGACAAATTTCAGAGTTGTCACTTGCATGAATCTAAATACAAAATTTAAAATGTACACTCTTACTGAGACACCCTTTAGCTAATAGCTTTTGTCTTGGTGTGCAGGTGGATCGGGACGGGGCGGCTCAGCAGGAGGCCGCGGCTGATGCGGCCGCGCTGCACGAGCGACTCGTGGCCTACGTGCACGCCCTCGCACCCCCCCACGTGCGTATCTAAACGTTTAATATTGACATCTAGCATATTCCATCGTAACACATAAAGTAGCCCAAAGTTGTTATTTATCTTTCAATTTAAATCCGATTAAGTCGATCCGATTCAGACGTCTCCAGTCGAAAATCTCGCAGGAGGCTCGATCGGGCGTATGGGTGGAGCACTCGTACGCGAGAGCGCGGGGGGCGAGCCACGCGCCCTCCTCGCACGTGCGCGTCCTGCTGGCGCCGCGCTCAGAACTGCCTACCGACGTCGTGGACGTGGAGCGCGACGACGCTCCACCTCCTTCTCCGCCGTCCGCCCCCTCGTCACTCTCGCCCCGCGCGTCCCGCGAGCCCTCGCCCGACGACGTCGACGTCGAGGTCGACGAGGAGTGGGAGGCGCGCGTCACGGCGCTCGCACCTAGCGCCGCGCACGCCGCTCTAGCCGAGCACACGCTCGATACTTTGCGGCGGATGCGGCTGGCGCGTCTGGCCGGCGGCCGCGCGACCGAAAGCGAGCATCTCCGAGTCGCGGCGCGACGGATGCGACACGCGCTCGCCAGAGCCGCGTCTGCGCCGGGGGCGGCCGCGCCCTGGCTTCACGCCACGCTGCTGGCCTACGCACCCCGCGCGGAGCGCCGCCTGTACGACGCGCTGCTGTGCGAGTTGGCGCGCGCCGCGCCCCGCCTGGCGGCGCGCCTCACGGGCGGCCGCGCGCCGCCGCCTCGTCGGGACCCGCTTGCGAGCGTCGGCGCGGCGCTCGGGCCCGAGGGTCCGGGCCCTTGGCTCGTGTGGGTGGGCGCAGGCGGCGAGCGCCAAGACCGGCGCTGGCTGCGGCGTCTGGGCGCGCTGCTGCACGTGCGGGCGCTGGCGGCGCCTGCGTCGGGCCCCTCGGCCCCCGAGGCGTGGTGCGCGGCGGTGGCGAGCTCGATGCGTACCGCGCTCGCCGACGTCCTCGCTGAGGCGGGGTAAGTAGCCGGCAGATGAGCCGTTTTATCTTTCTTCTGCTTTCTTTACGCGTATCATACGCGGTTATCCTATACTGAACCGGTCGGAACCTGCGCTTCGGCGGCCGGACTGCGCGTATAAATAAACCAGCCGTTATCGCGGTTTCGTTCGCTTTTCTCGAAGACGTGACCGTTTTACGAGAAGTCTTATCGAAACAGCGACCGGTCCGTGATCCTGGGCGGCTTCGGAGCGGGCGCATCGCTGTGCGCGGCGTTGGCGGCCAACCTCGCCCCCCCCTCCGTGCGCGGACTGGTGCTGCTGGCGCTGCCGCTACTCACCGCGGAAGGCCCGCGCGACTCGCCCGACGACCTGCTGGCCGAGCTGCGCCTGCCGCTACTTCTGGTGGCGGGCACCGGCGCGGGCGCATGTCCGCTGGGCGCGCTGCGCGGCCTGGCCCGCGCTCGCGACCCCCCGCACCCCCCGCGCCGCGTCCTCGAGGTGCGCGGCGCCGACGACTCGCTGCGCTTGCCGGCCGCGCTGCGTCTGCGCCGCCGCCTGCCGCAGCACGCTCTCGACGCGGCCGTCGCGGTGAGTGTCGGTGGAGGGATCGCTCCTCGTCACGGTAACTCAGTGTGTAACGTCACGTCGTCCGTGCAGGAGGAGTGCGCGCGCTGGGCGCAGGAGACGGCGGAGGGCGGCGCGCCGCGGCCGGCCCGGCGCCGCGCCGCTCCGGACCACGAGGAGTACGCGCACCTGCCCGCCGCCGCCAGGTGAGACAGCCGCCGTCGACAACTCATCCGTTGGCCAGATCCATGAGGGGTCCGATGACCTTTTTTTCGCATTAGATCTATTTATATAAAAATTTAAATAAAATGGATCTAACGATAATTTTTTATGTAAAGTGATGAACGCTACGAACGAATGAATTTCGCTAAAATGACTGAACGTCACTAATGTAAGCGAACGAATATTGAATTCCTGACATCTGCCTCGGTGAAAAAGTTTCTTTGCGAAAGGGAAGATGATGCAACGAACGAGGAGACGGGAGAAGGAAGCGAATCGAAAACGTTTTATCACAAGCAAAAACAGAATTATTATATGTTATACGAGGGTGGTCTGAAAAGTTGCCGACCTAACAAAGATACGAGACCTTTTTCCAGTTTTATTTTTTTATTTTTCAACATAGTCTCCTTGTTGAGTTAACACACTTCTCCCAGCGATGCTCCCATCTCTGTAACCCGTCCAAATACGGCGATTTTCTTTGCAAAATAATTGTTCACGTAGGTGATTGATTCTTCATTAGACGAAAATCTCTGTCCTCCGAGGGCAATTTCTCGTGTGGAGGACAGAGTGAGATCTGGTGAGTAAGGCGGATGGTCAAGCAGTTCAAAACTTAATTCGTGGATTTTCGCATTGACAACCGCTGAGGTGTGAGACGGTGCGTTGTCTTGGTGAAACAGGATTTTATTTTTCTGCAAATGTGGCCGTTTTTCCGCAAGTTTTGAGTTCAGCTTGTCAAGTAATGATGCGTAGTATGCTCCTTTAACGGTATTTCTTTTTAGGAGATAATCGATTAAAATAAGTCTATGACTATCCCAAAAAACAGTCGCCATCACTTTCCCAGCCGAAAAAACAGTTTTTTGCCTTTTTTGGAGCAGGTTCCCCCTTTGCAGTCCACTGTTTGGACTGTATTTTTGTTTCGGGCGTATAATGGTGTATCCAAGTTTCATCTACAGTAATTAATCAGCGCCAAAACTCGTATTTCTTGCGCCTAAACTACGCAGAGCGTTGGAAATGTTAATTCGAACACGTTTCTTGTCTAACGTGAGCAAACGCGGTACTCCACGCGCGGACAGTTGTCTCATGTCTAAATGTTGATTTAATATGTCGCAAACACTTTTTTTTTACATGTTCATAACCTCTGCTATCTGTCTCACTTTAATTCAGCGGTCGTCTAGCATCATTTGGTGAACTTCGGCGATGTTTTGGTCGGTAGTTGCAGTTTTTGGATGTCCCGAACGTTCATCGTCTCCCGAGCTCTTACGGCCACGTTTAAATTCAGCTGCCCAAAATTTCACTGTGGTAAACGATGGTGCGGAGTCCCCATACACAGAATCCAACTCATCTTTGATTTGTGTAGGCGTATTGCCTTTCAAAAACAAATGACAGCTCGACACTCGATTTTGTCCATTTTCATAAAAACTCACATCGACTCACTCAAACGACTGTTACCGAACTGAACTGTCAACAGATGAACAACGAAATTCACTAGCTTATATTCACGAGTGCCGCCATCTTCGTGTTGAGGTCGGAAGCTTTTCAGACCGCCCTCTTTCTCATTATCACTCATCAGAAAAGAACTCAGTGCAACGTAGCTCCGTAAGAATAAAATGCAATCGTAATTTTGAATGCTCGTTTAGGTGATGACCTTTCTAAACGATCACAAAGTCGGAAAACGTTTTTATGTTGAACCATTTTGACATAGGGGGCGCAGAAAACGAAGCGCTCAGTTATTCGTACCTTAACGTAGGGTCCTCCGCCCCGTAACAAAAGAGAAAAAAAGAGTTCGATCGATCTCGGAATATCGAAGCGAGGCCACCTCCGGTAGGCGATACGAGGTCGATCTCCGTAACGTGTGGTGTTTCTGTGCGCCCCGCAGGGCGGCGCCGGAGAGCGCGCGCGTGGTGTCGCGCGGCTCGGGCGCCACGCCGCTCGCGCTGCTGCCGCCGCGCCGCGCTCCGCCCCCCGCGCCCGCCGCGCCCCCCGCGCCCGCGCCCGCCGCCCCCCCCCGCGCTGGCCGCCGCCGACATCATGCGCCTGCCCATCGTGTTCGCGGACGACGAGCCGCCCGTGACGGTGACGAGCGGGCGCTACGCGCGCGTGGTGCTGGCGCCGCGCGCGCGCCCGCTCGTGCTGCGCCGCGCGCTGCGCCTGGTGCCGCGCGCCGCCCGCGCCCCCCGCGCCCCCCGCGCCCCCCGCGCCGCCGACCGCTGACCAGAGATCGTTCGCTTCGGTCGTTCCATGTTCTGTATATAAATATGTAAATTGCTCAATAAAAGTGTGTAAAGTACGTCGTTTCGATTCGAGTCCTGCTTCTTAGCGATACGTTAAGACGCTGCGATTAGATCGATACGCCGATTTAGACACGAAACGACTCTTTGTTTTGATTTAAAACGATAAACGCGACTACCTTCCTCCGTTCTGTGCCGTACGGTTTATTGCATCCTTCGATCGAACCTTATCGAATACTTTTCTGACAAAAATGATGTAATGATCTTAGACGATTTGCAAAATATGAAAGAAATATATTCAGTGATTTAAAAACGATAACTTTTTTGTTTTCGCGATTGCACATATCGATATATAAATATAGCCACGATACGTTGATCAAAAGTCTTTTCAGACCTGAGCGGTATTCGCCGCCGCCTGCGATACGGACGACCCGAGTGGGTATGCGAGTTTAGCTAAGGAACGTATGAACTTATCTCCAGTTAGTCATTTCTGTGTTACCAAAGAATACACGCGTCAGTCACGCTGTAATTGTTGCAGAGTATCTGATGTGATGGATAGCGATGAGGAGGGAGCATTACTTTTATTAATCTTAATTGATCCGCTTGAGGGGTATGGGGTGAGATGTATACCGCTACTCCCGCGTACTATCGACCGGCGAAATCTGTCATATGTTAATAAATGAAGGTCGTAAGTCCAACTAGTTATAATTGTTATAACTTCGCATAACTTAGACTTATGACCGCGACCGTACTTCTACCTACAATGGCAGCGAATACCGCTCAGGTTTCATCATCATCATCAACAGCCTTTAATAGTCCACTGCTGGACATAAGTCTCTCCTTAGAACTCCTTTCTACGTTTTGGCCTACTATACCACGCTGGCCAGACGAGTTGGTATAGGGTTTGTATCAAGTTTTCCTTCTCTCTGCAGTGCTGTTGTTCTGCGTAGTTTTCTCCCTTAGTCGGCTCTTACGATACCCACGGGATGAATAGGGGTGGTGACACTCAGTATTCTTAATCCGTCACCACACGGACTTAGGACGGCTTAGGTTTGACCAGGCTCTAACATCACACGTTGCCATAATTATATACCTTATATCACCATCATCATCATCAGCCCATCGCAGTCCACTGCTGGACATAGACCTCTAATAAGGCCGGGGTGACGAGCATGCGCTATATTCATTAATTAATGTCTTATTATAAAAAAGTTAAAAATGCAAGTGATTATTTTGACTCGCCTGCCAAGGAAGGTTATGTTTTGGCGCGTATCTTGTATGTTTGTTTGTAAATTTCTTTATTACCTCGTAATTTCATAACGGCTGTATGGATTTAACGTGGAATGGAACATCGTCTGAATTTAATATCATATTTTTTTTCATATATGCTTATTTTATTAATGAAGTTGTCATACGACACCTGAACTTTGTCAGCGACACGGCCAGACAAGCAATCCACAAGATATTGTTTGTATTTATTCCAGTCAGCCAGTTTATAATTTCGTATTTTATCAGCGTCGATTTGCTCCCTAAACTTTACTTTAAACTTAACAAATAAGTGATCACTTCCTAAACTTTCGTTAAAAACCTGCCAGTCGGATGCAAACGTAATGTCAGCTGAGGACCTTTGTAGGATATTATAAACTAATTCATTCCTAGTCAGCTGTCCATTGTTAAAAGATGTGTATCCAAACTCAATTGCCCATTCAAAGAGTTGTTTACCCTAACTTTTAAACTTTCGCGTTCCATGATAATTAATATTATTTAACGGGAGTTAACGCGATCTCTTATTACGGTTCTAAGCGATATAAAGGTTCACAACATCGTCGGCACACCGAAGGATATATTGCCACTACAAACTCCGGGTGTTTATAAAATAGACTGCAGCTGCGGAAGCTCATACATAGGCCAAACTAAGCGGACTATTGCAGAAAGGGTCAAAGAGCATATCGCTGCTGTGAAGAACCGACAGACGAGCAAATCAGCGATTGCAGAACATGCACTCGATGCAGGCATCAACCACTGGATTGAATTTCACCGCACGCAAGTCCTCTCCACCGAACGTCACTTTTGCTCAAGAGTTGTACGTGAAGCGATTGAGATTAAAAAGCATAAAACTTTCAATCGGGAAGATGGTTTTAAATTATCTACAGCGTGGAATCCAGTGTTAAAAAACATACCACCTCGCTTTTCTGCGCAATCGGTTAAACACCAGAATAGGGACTCATCGGTTTGCTTACAGAATAGGGACACTGTTAGTGTGGTATGTGACGGTACATGACGACACAAAAACAACAACAATATCGAAAATGTGCGGGTAGATGAAGAGCCTTCTACTTCACGGATTCGACGACGGAGGGCGTGCGCCGATGAGCCAGTCAGCCTGTGACCACGGCCGGTGCAACCTGGTCGAAACGTCAGGCAAACCAGAGGTATGTAATACCCTAAATAAGAGATCGCGTTAATTCCCGTTAAATAATATTAGTTGTTTACCCCTTCAGTCTTGTTTTGGGAACATTGAAAAAATACTATCCCTATCTGATTGTGTTGTATAAACTGAACTAAGACAATATATCAAAATTATATGTCTGACATAATTACAATTAATTATCCTAATACACAGCATCTCGATGCCTGAATTATTCACATTAATATTTAGTTCCTAAACGTTTACTGAATGATGTGATATGATAGTTACGCCACCATAAGAGTCGCTTCTATCCCGTCTATAAATGTTATACGAATTACAGTTAACATACCCTCTCATCCAGCCAAGTTTCGCTAGTTAATGATATATGTGCTTTCTCTTGTAATAATAAACATTTGACTTTCTCTAGCTTAGGTCGTAAGCTCTGTGCATTCCACTGCATTATATTTAGTAATAATATAATATCTTTATATAAACCAGCCATCTTTAAATAAAGGTACAATTTTATTTAAGACACCTTCAGTAACTTCCAAACAAACTAAAAACATTCTTCTAATGTAAAGCTACATATTTTTTTAACTTTCACATCCAAACTATTTTCAGATGAACAAACTTGTTTCACAGTACATGATTAACTCTCTTTAAAATCAACAATGCGATTTGTGTTCTCATCTTGGTTTCCGGGTATTTCTTGTTGTATTGAGTTTTATTGTATATAACACGAGGCAACAAAGAAAACAAAAGACAAAGAAATGACTTTGGTTACTTTTCTTTGTCTTTTGTTTTCTCTTCAATGGTTTATTTAAGATGTCATATTCTACCGATTCTTCCATACTTTGTTCTTTGTTCTCCTAACTCTTCACTGTCCGTCACAATCTGCTGTCCGGTTATTTTGGGCGCAGAGATATCTGATTGAGTGTTCACCACTAATACGTCTCTGTAAGATGGTTTTTCTATATTAATACTAGTTTTATTGTGATTGTCCATTATATGTTGATGTTTGGGTTTTTCTTTAAACTGCTCTAAATATATAGATAAAGCTTTTATATAAGTTTAGTTCTTAACACACACGATCTTTCGTATCTGCTTTTCTCTAATGAATATTACCCATGACTTTTCTAAAGTCATTTTTACAATTTACACATTTGTAGTTAGTAGTATCACAGTTGTTGTGCTTCTCTCTACATTTTGGGCATCTTATAATCTTTGTAGGGGCTGACTTTGACAAATGACCAAACCGCCAGCGTCCAAGCTAAATAGGTGCTTAATAGGCTTAGTAGAATGTAGCGCGGCAGCTGCAACAGTCTTCATGCTGAACGAGCTAAAGTGGGTTACGCCATCTCCAATGATATTACTATTTTGAATGCTTTATTAAGTAGTTGATAAGTTTGCGCACGTAATTGATCTGGTTGGTCTTTATTAATTAACGAAATCTGCGATGTTTTATTAAAATTATATTGAATTCTTAATTTTTTATTGTGCTAATATAAAGCTGACATAGACCAGTATTGCTTATTGCGCATCGGGCTTGGCACCGACTTCAAACAGACTAGAAGTGACTATTGCTATTATAATGTTACCTGTTATATTAAGGATACCGATTATAGTTTTCTTACTTAGATTTGTAATTATTATTTTATTTTTAATCAGTTTAAGTTTAAGTTTTGTCAGTATTGTTTGAAGTCAGTTCAATTATTTTTAAGCTATTGCATAGCTTCTATCGCGGGCCTTGAGCGCGGAGACCGAATCCAGAAATTCCGTAACGAAAATAACCTAACACCTCCCACTCCGACCGGCACAGCGGTGATACTTTTTAATTTTGCCATCTATCGATGAATAGCAGAACTTTTTTAAGGTAGGGTGTTCTCTTGACATGACAAAGGGGGGAGACCAGTTTATTTTTATTAATGTAATAACATCCACATACAATACCCCCCCCCACCAACATTTTTATAATTGTATTGAGGTCCCTTCAAAATACCTCCCCTTCTCTCCCCTCCACTTTTTTCATTTATCCCCCCTTTGATTTTCTCGGTACCTGGAGCACTTGGACTCCCATGTTTGGGTTTGTCTGAACCGGGAAAAGGAGTCGAACAATCTGGCCCCTACAGATTTTTTTTGAAAAGTATCGTGACATGTAACAACACTTCAGTCTGTTTTTCGAAAGAGGGGCGAGGGGGGGGGGTATTTTCGAGGGATGACTTATTTTTTTATTATTGCATTGTGGTCCGCACAAAATACCTCCCCCTCACCCTTCAACTTTTTTCATTTATCTCTCCTTTGATTTTCTCGGTTCCTGGAGCACTTGGACACCCCATGTTTGGGTTCGTCTGAACCGGGAAAAGGAGACGAACAATCTGACTTTGTTCGTGTGGAATTTGAAAACACTGCCTTAGTGGGTTCGATTCCGGAGCCGGGCAAAATTCTATAGGGTTTTCCTAAGATAATTATTTAATACGAGCTGGTACCCGCGACTTCGTTCGCGTGGAATTTGAAAACGCTGCCCTACTGGGTTCGATTCCCGGCCGGGCAAATTTCTATAGGGTTTTCCTGAGACAATTATTTAATACTAAGTTGATAAAAAATGCTATGCAATAGCTTTACCGCGGCAGTCCCTGAGCACGGTACAATTATAATACAGTAATGTAACTCGGCCGCATGATAGAAATAAATGCCTACAGCCGCGCGGTACGTAAACATGCGTTAGGGCTGCCCGTCTCCAGCATTTTAATTATATTTGCCTACTTTCTGTTTCTATTTAGATTTGTGATTGTAAATATCCTTTTTATGTAAATAAATGAAATACTTTGTATATTGAATAGGAAGTGTTCAATAAAAATGCGTGTTGTTTTTTGATTGGTAGATTTAATTATTTTATTTTCTTTCTGCATTGGAGGAGTTCAAGTTTTAATTTTCTTTTTCTTGGAGTGTTGCTAGAGAGACTCGTTGAGATTTGAGCAAAGATTTCATTTGTTGCATTTTCAGTCTGTGTACTATTTGATGAATGTAATACATCCTCCAAATTAAAATGTTTTACACAAACTTGGTAGGAACTAAAGTTAGGTTTGTTTTCCAAATCATCTCGCCGGATCAGTTGCAACCATTGAAGACGTCTGAAAAAAAAATACATGTGGCACTCTCGGAGACTGCCGCGGTAAAGCTGTTGCATATTTTTTTTTTTTAAAGAAAAAAATCTGCGTGGTGTCAGGTATTTTTCGTTAGGTTTTGAGAATTTATTGATTCGGTCACCGCGCCGCGCCACGCTCAGAGAGCTCAGAAAGTAAAATAAAAGCTATGCAATTGCTTAAAAATCCTTCTATAAAATAAAAAAAATGTGCTTTCTCCATACGCGTTACAAAACTCCAATCTTTAGAAACCCCAACACCTACCTACTCAACTAGAATGCAAGAAACAGCTGACGAGTAAGTAACTTTTTATCTCAGCTTATTAACGGCTCCATAAATTAGGTACCTACCTACAACTCGCAACAACTCAAAACAAAAATTCTTTGGTCACCAATTAATTAATTATTAAAAAGCTGAACAGCTGACTACGAATGTTTTAAAATCACAACCCTCAAACATCTAAATATTATATATGAGTCTAGCTGTTGTTGTTAATACCGAGAAAATAAAACCAGTTTTTAGTGGTATATGTTGTTACAGTAGCAGCAGAAACACTTTGTGAAAATTTCGAAAACTATCTAATGACACACAGACGGTAAAAAAAAAATTCTAGTATTATTCATACACACAGATAATAAACAAATATTATTAATAATAAAATACCACGTCTTTACTTTGAATTATGCAAAGTAACAAAACACACATGCACCGAAGTTTTAACACAAGCGTAAGTAGTTACCTACCGTATCATGATTCATTCAGAACCGCATATAACTACCTATTTCACTCGTCTCAATAACTTTCCGTTACTCTATTCGCTTTATTTATTAATCCAAACACCTTTTTTTTGTGAGATAAAAGGAAATACTTATCCATTAAAAAGACACATATTATGTACCTACCTACTAGTAAGTAAAATTATTATTTTATTAATTATTATTAAGTAAAGTAAAATTATTATAGTGTTACCTTTCAGAGTTTCCAGGTAATTTAAAAAACTTATGTCTGGATGCGTTATTGACGAATTCATACAACCAAAAACAGCACAATATTTCCTACTCGTCATATTAACTGATTTTTAGAGAAAAAATTGCACGGTCATTGTTAAAAAAACAACACACCGTCCGTTCGACACTGCGGTAGGTACAGCCGTGACTGTCTGCGCCCCGAGCGCACCCCGAGATCGAGGCGCGTAGGTATAGCTCGCGTTTCGTCCGTTTGTATGAAGTTGGAGTACTGTATTATAATAGTACCGTGCCCTGAGTGCCACACGTCTTTTTTTTAAGGAGTTTTATTTATTACCATTTTTAGTGTAAAATATGTTTGTAATGTGTAGATAAGTACGATATTTTAACACTTACCGTAATGTATAGTACAAAACTGTACTCGTAGTAGATATTATGTTAGATTTTATTAAATGTAGTTTAATAGGTCCCTTACTTTATTTAGATAAGGTAAGATGATGAAAGATGATGATGATAAGAATGATGTAAGATGTTACATTTGAACCCGAACATATATTGTTTTCCACATTATTTAATTTTCCAAAACTAGGAGTGGTATTTTTTCTTTAAATTTCAATAGAACTAAGGGGGAAATATACCATTCGAAGTAAAAAAATATTTTTTATAACCGGTATGCAAATGAGAGTTTTGAGAAAACAAACATAAGATAAGATAAGGGGCAAGTTTTTTTTTCAAGTACCGAAAAAGCGGTGGCTGCCTACGAATCATTTTTGACCTGTCGGTGGGAGACTGCAAAAGTATTTCCAAGTTTCATCCATCCAAATTTGTATAAAGTGTGATGAAGAGTATTTTGAAAAAAAGTCATATAAATTATGAGTAATCTCAAACAATCCCAAAATTCATAAAGTGACCTGTACATGGTACGTTAAAGTTTTTCGAGAACTAAATTATTGCAGATGTTGCACTCTCAATAATACTCGTAATGAACCATTAATTTTTGCATGATGCCATAACATACAGACATATAAATTCTTTTTCGTTTTTTGGGGTTTTCTGATTTGAAAATATCTAAAAAAAATTGGTTGCCTGTAAAGTCGGTATACGGGCGAAAGTTTTACGTGACAACGACTTTGAGTGGTAAAATAATTTTAATGTGAATATTCATTCGTATAGTAGGAAGAAGGATGAAATAATAGTAACAATTTAAAACATTTATTTATACAAAGAATTATATTTAAAAAAAGGGACGCGTGCCTTTCACTTTTTATGTCTGTCTCTCTCGCTCTTAGGCGGGCTAACCATGCCCGAGTGGAAGGGACGCGTGCCTCTCACTCGCTCTCATTGTGAGCGCATAACGTGAGCGGAGCGTAACGCAGTTTCTTGAAGTGTCACCCGGCAAACCAATTTATAAGACGTTATACTAACTTTTAAACTTTCGCGTTCCATGATAATTAATATTATTTAACGGGAATTAACGCGATCTCTTATTTAGGGTATTACATACCTCTGGTTTGCCTGACGTTTCGACCAGGTTGCACCGGCCGTGGTCACAGGCTGACTGGTATGTAATACCCTAAATAAGAGATCGCGTTAATTCCCGTTAAATAATATTAATTATAAGACGTTGTCACGTCAAAAACCTTTATGGACAGACACTTTTCTACTCTTTGTATAAGTATAGAAGATGTCGTTTAATGTAGTAAAGAGAATAGCAATCATACATTTATTTAATTCTCTCCCACAATATACATCGAATACTACGAGTATAATAATACTTACCTACATTAAAAATTAAATAAAAGGTGAAATCGGCTTGTACTCGTATGTGAATGTCGCTAGTGTGATCATGACACTACACCGTGTAAGATGGAGACACGATGTAAATTCCTATAATGGGGGTAACGTGACTTTCAAGCCTGCGTGGCCAGCTTCCATCATTTGTTTCATATCTTCATCACTTATGTTTCTGCCCTTTAACTTTTCCAATACATCGCTATATGTCTCTGCCGGGTTCAGTTCGGCCTGTTCTTTGAACGCAGAGCTAACGTTGAGGGTTTTCATCACGGAGATGTACTTGTCGTGAATGTAGGTGATGAACTCGATGGTGTACGTGATGTCGACGTGTATGCGCAGCATGTGCTGGTAGTAGAAGTAGATGATCAAAATTGGCCGAGGGCTGGGTTCTTTATGAGTGTTCTTACGGTACCTCTCAAGCAGTGTGGCCTTATAAAGTGTCCTGATCTTTTGGAGCCATTGCTCTAGCTTTCCGAATGTGTAAGCGACGCGGACTCTCTCGTCGTCTTGATACTTCTCGAGTAAGGGTTCTATTTCCACTACATACCCTCTAGTTAAATGAATCAGATACTGCTGGAATTGTAATATTCTGACTTTGAGATGCTCCCCATTGTATTCGTGGAATGTTATTTCTCCTGCAATTGTAATTATAATAGAGATGTAATTATACAATATCATTGTTGTACCAAATGTTTGTATGATCTGCAAATGTTGGTTTCGGAGTTTGGGTGTTTTCTATGTATAATAGAATAGAATAGAATATAATAGAATAATCTTTATTGTACACCAATTCAGGATATTATACATACAATAGTATTCCAAGTTAATGACCATATACAAATGGCGGCCATGTAATATGTATGTATTTACAAAGAAAGAAGTATGTAAGTATTCTATCAGTCAACCTAGCTTTCATAGCTCTGCTTAGTGTAAAACTAGGTGGCGTGGTGTGTTTAGATGTACGAAACATTTATTTATATATTTATAATAGTATGTTACATGTGAGTAATGCTAGCTACCTTACTTGTCCTTAAATATATGTATTTATAAAACAAAAGGGGACTAACGTCGGGCACCGCCTGGCGGTAGATACGGCTTCGGTTTTGCGCCCAGGGAGTTCTCCAGCGCCCTCAGGTCACCCACGACGGACGGCGGCGGAGTCATGCGTCGCTTCAGCAACAGCTCGAGCCGCTCGTCTGGACCCACGAACTCCTTGTCGCGCTTCGATATGTAACTGTCTTGGACACCCACGCGCACACCCACTGTCACAGTTATCCCTGTCATCGACAAATTACGTTTCATATGCACTTAAGCCAATCGACTATCATGTATATGCTCCTATTTATATTAACTGGATAGCAAATATCGGAGGGCTTGCTTGTAAATGCAAAATCATGCCGATGGGTTAAGAAGACTCAAGTCCAATCAGTACCTTTTTATTAAACGTCAAAACGATAGACGCGGTACAATTTTGTATGAAATACTGGGGCGTGACTTTAGCTATTGTCAAATCATTTCTATTTAACTAGTTTTTGCCTGGGGCTTCGCCTGATAATGTAGCTTTCCATTGGTTTAATAACTTTTAAAATCGGTTTAGAGCTTTAGGCGTGAAAGCGTAACAAACAAACAGACCCGAATCACTTTAATTGCGATATTAATAAGTATATTTAGTTCTCCTACAAAAAAAGCAGTAAGGAGAAGCTGTCTGATTTAGGTTAAAAACTTGTGCTTTAGATCACCGGATCCCCAGTTCACCACACCACCTGTTGGATCTTGATCCTAATGAAGGTGGTTTTGGGTGCACAATGAAACTAGATGTTGCAACTAGTATTTGTGCTTTTATTGTTTTAAAAACATTTTATTAACGTGGCTTATGTAAATAATGCTTTAGATATACTTATATATTTATTTTAAATCTACAATCTATTATATAATATTTATCAGGGGCGTGCGCTCCTTGTAGGCAAAAACGCAGTGCTTTACTTGCTATTCACAGACATTTTAATAAAACGTTCGTACGTTTTAGATGACTTTAATTAATAGTAAATAAATAAATAAATAAAATATAATAACTTAAAAACGCCTACAATTAAAAAATAGCACCTATTTTCAAGCACACAAACATAATGTTTGCCAGGCGTTTACCGACAAGCAAGCGGCGCTGTACCTAACCAACCAACTCATGCCGTCGCGTCCCGCAGGACATTTGTTCGCATGTGTGTAGTAATTTTGGTGTCCGTGCACAGTTCGCAAACGCACACACCCATTTATTTTATTTCTTCACCTCCAGCCGCAGGCTACTGAAGTTAGTTCGGCAGTTGTCGGGAGTAATCGGAAATGTTCGTTGTCGCCGTGTGCGCCGTGTTCGCTGGGGCCATTTTTTTTTCATGTGATAAGCATTGTTTACTAATTTGTTTCCGCCAGTATAATTATAGTTTTATTTTTCATTTTAACATTTGAAAGTGTGTACATTTAACAGTTTATTACCGAGTTCCGTTGATTTTTTAAACATGTTATTTGATTGTGAGGTATGTGTGGAAAATGTGTGTATATTAAAAATTAAAAGTTCTCACAATTGTCATTCAGTGAAAAGATTAAAATTGTGTCTAAAGGTAGGTGTGTACCCGAGTTACAACAATTAAACCAGCAAAAAGAAAATGTAACTCGCAAGTTTCATGTTAAAAGTTATGAAACGTATGGCTGTGTGGTTGTGTACACACGATTAAATTATTAGGTCTTTACCTATGAAATTGCCGTTTTGTATGCAATAAGTGAAAGTTCTTATCTTTTCAAACTTTTTGTTTACGATGAACGCAAAAGCAAATGGATCAATTGATTGATCTTAGTTAAAATTTTTGTAGATCCTCAATAGATGGCGTTGTACTGGCTTTTTAGATCGCGGTATGGTTGCGTTACCGTCTTGTACTTAAAATATAATATTTTTATAAATAAAGAGGTCGATCAAGATCGGAATACAGCGCAGTGGTTTCATTTCACAAACCCTACTCTAGTGTTCTCATTCAGTACACCCACCGGTCTACCGCAGATCGCGACACCTAGAGGCGTGTCGAACACTTTTTATTTCTGTTATTCGAAGTAATCACCCATGCAATCGACGAATCTTTGCCAACGCATTGGCAGTTTAATTTTTAATTGAATTTTTTACCCACTAAAAAGTTGTCTAAATTTTGTAAAAAGTAAGAGTCGGTAGGTGCAAGGTCACATCTGCAACCAGCTTTGGTCAATCGGTCGTCCCCACTGCTCCTTCACGACAACGCGCGACCCCATACTGCGCAACAGACAGTCTCCAAGCTGCAAGAGCTGGGGTTGGAATCTCTCTCTCATCCGCCATACTCACCAGACCTTGCACCTACCGACTATTACTTTTTCCAAAATTTAGACAACTTTTTAGTGGGTAAAAAATTGAAATCGGGAGAGGCAGTACAAAATGCCTTTGAAGAGTTTGTTGCCTCCCGTCCAGCTGATTTTTACAAGAAGACCTATTATATTGTTTTCCTACTCCGCCGCATACCTAGTGTCATAATCCTGTGCACGCCGCTGATATTTATTTGAGCACATGCACATATGGTATATTTTTATTGCAATGCTCCGTTTTTTTCAAGTTTCGATATGGTTCTATGGGCGTAGCTATTGATTTACAATCTTCCATGTTATAATTTCTTAATGCCTTTTGAATATTTTTTTGTTATGTAATTTTCAACTTATTATTCTCATAATTTATTTCAAGGCCAAGGAGATACTTCAGCTTTCCAATATCTTTTATTTCAAATGATTGGTTCAGCTATTTTTTCAATTTTTCTAATGAACTTTCACTTGTATAGGTAATAGCGAGATCATCGACATAAACGGCAACTATCATTTTATCTGTGCCTTGAGGCCAAGTAAAAATCCAAGGCAAGTCAGGTCGCTGGTTTCTTTGATGTTTTGAGGCACATTTCTTATTTCAGAAATGTGAAATGTGTGTGAAATAAGAATGTGAAACGACTTAGAACTTGGTGCCCAAAATTCTAATTCATCGTCCTACCCTCCAGCTGTAATATAATATATGTATATTTCCTTTATAATATAATTATCTTCATTATCTTTTCTTTAAATTACCTCCATTCATTCTTCGGCTGGAAATCAGGACAAAGTGTTTTGTTGCTTACTTTGATGTAGTTCGATCCACTTGTCACGTATGTGTAAGGTGTAAATCAAATGTCTTGATTATCTAGTTCAGCTGACGGAGGTGGTGTGCGTACCGTTTTAGGCATTATTTTGATTAGAGCTTTACCGTAAATATGAAAATCAGTAAAATATAATAATGATGACAACAAAGAAGATCCAGTAGCGAAACCTATTTATTACCACCGAGTTTGTTGCTTAGTAAGTTTTAACCAAGTCTTGGTCGATGCAGGACGATATTAGTCCGTAGCTTCAACAGCGCGGCTTCACGTTCAGTCAGTCGAACGGTGAAGCGACTCGCTCTCGTTGCAGCCGGTGACGGTTCGAAGCTCACAAGACAAACACTCACTTTCACATTTATGATATAAGTATACAATTATGGGTATCCATTTGAAGATATCAAAACAATAAAACCATCAAATTGACAGTGGAGGACAATTCAGGCTGTGCTTCCGTATGTTACTTATGGTGATTGGGGGTAATATTTTATATTGAACCTCTGCCCTATTCTTTAGAATTCTTTAATTTGACAACTATTTAGATTTCAGATTTATTTAAAATTTAGATTTAAAAAATGATGTATCCATTATCATATTTCTCTAAGGGTTATGAAACATATAGATCAAGTAAAATGAGTTATGAATGAATTTCAGGAACTCACACTTTCCGTTGTCCGCTTCACGCGATGCTTGTTACAAGACTGTCGGAGTGGGACTCTCGCCGCCGTGACTATGTCAAATGTTAAACCATTAAACGACTACGCTTGAACAGGTAGTCTGTCAAGTAACATGACTATATCCAAAGTACTAGTCAACCTCGTTGTGTGATAGTGAAAGGTTGTGCGCGATACCTGACTAAAGTTATTCCTACCCACATTGCCACTTAAGAGGTGCTTCAAGTGCAATAAAAATATTACCCAAAAACTAAGTTCAACAAATACATGGTTTTTACAGGAAACACGAAGTTATCTACCCCAACTGATTCAGTTTTCAAAGCGGTAAAGGTACATCGGACTTCTTATCAACATTTACTGACAAAGTTAACGAACACCTTAACCAAAGAAATGATGTTATCACAATGCTTATCGACTTCTCGAATGCCTTTGATACTTTAAAAGATAAACAATTCATTCAAAAACTGAATTTTTATGCACCATTGCTCAACTGATGCGGAAACCACAAGTTTACAAGATCAAGATTGCCAATTCGTTAGGTCAAGAAATTGATGTTCTCCGACAAAAAACTATAAATTGTTTACATGACGCGAACACCTTAGAATCTCAAAAATATCTCGGACTGGAAATTGATAATTTTGGGTGAAGTAAACATATTGAACACGTCTGTGACAAGTTAAGGCAGTTTTTAGTTAACATAAATTATTTAAAATACCGTATTGAAAGGTTCAAAGTAAAACTTATGCTAAACAACTCACTCGGCGAATCACATATTCAGTACGGACAAAGTAGTTACGATCGCAGCTACAAATCTCATCTAGTCCAGATATATAAACTCCAACTAAAAATACTGTAAAATATTGTATCTCAGAAAATTCAAGATAAACTTCACAACGATGAACCCGGATTATTAAGACATTGTAATTTACTGCCTATTTATACACAAATTAAATATAGACTTCTAAAAGAACAATTCCTTAAGCACAACTTAAAAGAAAATGGAATTCAACATCCTGAATACACGAGGGCGGTCGCGGGTCCGTGCTAACAATAAGTACATGTTGTGGCGAGCGCTCATCGTTGTATTTAGTTTATTGACAAAAAAATAAACTATGCTTTTATTTGCAAAATACAATTTACTCAGAACATTAACCAGCCACATTTATTAAAAAAAAAAACAGAAAAAAACATTGTGTTCAGCTTAATGTTACTTATTACACTATTGGATTGTAGTGATTTTTGCAAGTATATTATGTAGTCTACTTGTAGCATATACTACAAACCTAAATGGTTTAAAATGTTATGTATGCAAACTAGATTAGCTGTATTTTTATTTAATAAATAGGAAAATAAAAAGAAACTTACACAACAAAATTACTCGACGCATAACTTCAGCAGCTCACCCCCTGGAAAACATATTGCATCGTGTTACTGATAGTTACAC